ATTTTATTTATTTGGGATATTCTTAGTATGCTCTGTGGTTGCAGTTTAATCTGATCTTCCACATCAGAAAAGAATTATTCCTGTTTTATTGCAAGAGATTTTTTCTTTTGTCATTCTTGAGTTGCTGGGATCGGGATTATTATTCACCATTTTACTTTGATATTTTAATTTACATCTTCCGCATTGCGCATCTGAGACCAACACTTTCGATTTTCGATTTTTAGGTGAAAGGTATGGATTCGAGTTTGATTAATATTGCTCCAAGTTCCGATTTAAATTTCGTAGAGCCGAACTCTTTCTAATCTCAGAGCCTTACCTTGTGTCGAACCTTAATTTTTGAGCCGATTGAATCCTATGTTTCGTCGATTTCTTGAGAAATTCGATATTTCCTTGTTGATTAGTTTTAGAAGTATGCTTTTTAGTATATGTTCATTTTATTGAATTTCTTAGTCTGAGTCGAATTACATGTTTTATGGGAATATGTTGGTAATTTTATTTATGGAGATTAAACTTGTTTGAAAAATATAATGTGGCTAAGAAATTTTCAAATATTTAATTCTAGAATCCTGCATTATTGAGTTATGAGATTCATGTTATTTTCTCTATTTTGAGTTATGAGATTCATGTTATTTTCTCTATTTTTTATGATGACTGGGTACGTTGTGGCCGATTTTAAGTTGTTTTCATGTTGTTTTAAAGTTTTTTTCATGTTGCTTTTTCAATGTTGTTATGTTATTATGTTCTGTTATTCAATATTTTGCTTCTTTTTTCGACAGAATGGTTCTTGTTGATGATTTTTTATTGGTTCACACCTTATGTTAATTGTTCTATCTATTGATTATGTGAAATTTTCTTATATTTTGTGAAATCTTTTTGGAATGCATTTCATTAGATAGAAATAAAAAAAAAAAATTATGCTTTGATTTGACTTTTTTTTTTGTTTGTTTTTAGAAGAAGAAGAAGATAATCGTGAAAAGTGGAGAGGGTGGAGAGCAGGGGCGGACGTAAATAGGGGACCGTAGGGGCACGGGCCCCTGTAAAAATTTTGTGTAATATAGTATATATATGTTGTATGTATAAATATATTATTATATTGACATAAAAAATCATGTTATTAATTATTATGCAAAGTTATTTCAATATAAAAAATAAAAATGAAATATTTAGAATTAATTAACCTTCTTCTATAGTATGTTATTTTTTAAGTTGTGGAATTTATGCTTATATGTTATACTCAACTTCTTGTTTATTTCATTTTTTCTCCTAAAATACATAAAAAAATAAATATTATACATAAATGTATATGTATACAATTTATAGAGATTGAATCAAATGTGTCTATTATTATAATGCGTATTAGAGACTCAACTCTAGCGATTAAATAAGAAATAAGTTGTCAATCTTTTTATTTTTTTGGCTGGTCAAATATTGATTTGACCGTTGACTTTTGGCGTTGATCATCGACCGTAGTTTGTACTCCCGTTGTCCTTAAAGTCTGCATCCGCCCCTGGTGGAAAGGGAGGATAGGAGAGCGAAATAATCCGTTCATTTAATTTTTTAACGGTTTGTATTTATTTTCTTTTTCCAAAATTTTTCTATTTTTATAATTGTGTCCGACTTTGGGGTAGATGTGGAATTGTGCATGTCCCATAATTATTGCGGAGTATCTTTATCAAATTGAGGCAATTATAAAATTTTCCCAATTTGGAGGGGAGGATTTTAAGTATTCTTTGGCTATCGTGAGGTGTACCAGGATGCATGAATTATTGGTTTGGGCTAGGCCCAACATTATAATTAATTTGGAACGTATGGAGCACTTAATTAACAGGAGGAGACTTACGTAACTTTGAGGCAGCCTTTTTATTATGAAGGAAATAAACAAGCAAGCGGGAGAATTATTATTTTGGAGGAGTTTTATCAATTAGGACCACTGGGATTCTGGGATTTATTTCGGAGTCTCTCGCACAGATGCTGAGGGGAATTCGAGAAGAAAGGTCACACTCGAGGGAAATCGCAATTGCACACGAGGGAGAGGACTTTATTGTCTCTTTTATCTAATATTTATTTATATTAGTACGTTAGTTTAGTATTTTATCCAATTTTAGAAGATGTTTGAATTCTAATTTTAATTTTTTTTTTCTATGAATTAAAGGATCTTTATTTATCGTTGGTTAATCTAGACGCCGAATTTATTTTTGTTGATAAGTTGATTCATTTTATTGTTGATAAGTTGATTCATGTTATCTATGTTTAACATTTATCAATTATGGTGTTTGATTTAGTTTGACCAGCTATATTGATATTCACAGTGTAATTGCTAGATTCGAGGCTTTAATCCATTGTTGTTGTTCTTGTTTCGTTAGTAGTAAACTAGGGGTCATGCATCTCTAGGGTGACATGAACATAAGTTAAATGGTCTGAACGTACGCGTCTGCTGCTTAGACCACTCTATTTTTTGGCAATTATTGCTTCTAGTGCATTAAATCTAGAGAGTTTATTTTAGGTTGTACACTAGTTAGGTTTAGTTGAAGTGCTTATTTCGATTAAATAATCGGTAAGAGAAAAATCGGTTAACAGAATTTGTTGTTAGCTAGGGTTGGTATTTCGTTAGCAAGTTAAAGAATGCGTCGAAATTAACTAACGATAGATTTAGATTGAGTGATAACTGAACCAAAAAATGGACTTCTCTTATTTGATTTTTATTTTACTTCTTTTTATTTTTATTTTTATAAAATCGAATCCACCATCTTCACTGCATTCTTAGTTTTAATTCGATTAATACGAGAATTATCACAAATTAATTCATGCACCTCGTGGGATCGTCCCTTACTTCGCTACTACTACTAATTAGTAGAGGGTAGTCGATGGAACCTTTTAAATTTAAATTTGTCGCGTCGCGACGCGCGGTCATCGGCCCACCTCTTCGCCCAACACCAGGGCCGAAGAGAAACACGCAGGCGAGGTCGAAATCCTCCACCACTAACCATCTAATGGAGAGAAAGGGGACACAAACCTCTTCTGAAAGAGAGCCGAAGGACCGCCACGGAGAAAAAACCCATAAGTCGGCCGCTCACCACACCATCCTGGTGCCAGAGCCTCGGCGAGACCAGGATCAAGTGCGAGCACATCCTCCTTCCGGGTGAAAAAGCACACCTCCAGGCGGCAAATCTTCAGAAGACGGCCACGAGGACAAGAAGCTCCGCCGCCGCACGCTCGGAGAGCCCCACCGGGAAAGAAAACAAAAAAACTGAGATTAGGGATTGGCGACGATTCTGGGGAAAAACTCACAGGGAAAAACTGAAATATCTTATAAAAATAATAATCAAGACTTGGACTGCATTAAATATTTATATTAGTCACATTAAATCTTTGATTGACTTCTTCCTTATTTTCTTATACAATTAGTTACGATAGACTATTTTAGATTTTCTTTTTCTACTTTACAACATATTACATTTCATTTTCTTAATTTACTCATACATCAGTTATTATAAATGTGTCTTCTTCTTATTTTTCGTATTTTATAACCTTTTGTTTGCATTTTTTTATGTATGATATATGAAATTAATCATCTTTTAACGATCTTCGTTTTGACTTCCATTTTACATATATAAAAATGCAACAGTGATATATATTCTTATAAATATTTTAAATTGATTTATCAAACTAAATTAAATATACCTAACTACAAATTATTTTATGAAGCAATGGAAATTGATTCATATCAACATATCATAAAATATCTATTTCATTTGAAAAGAATACATAGAAACTAAGTATGAACATAAAAAAAAATATTTTAAAATTAATGTCTCATTTCAAATAAAGAATACAAAGAGATTGAACATTATAATACTTAAAAAAAACAAAAATGCTTAGTATAATAAAATATAATAAATACAATTGTTATATTTCATAAAGTTTAAAAACATTGCACCCATACACATCGTATTTAAATTATTGTATATTATGAATTTAAGATATTTAAAAATATAATATGAGGGAAGAAAATTATGTACATAAAATATTAATCAAACTTGAAAAAAAAAATCTAAATTAATTGAATAAAATTTTTGAGTTGTAAGTTAACACACACACACACATATATATTAAATAAATATCATTTTAACAATTTAAATTTAAAATATAGGTATTATTCTAAATATTTAACTTTGTTAATTTTTTATTTATTAGTTTTATATTTAATTTAAAATCATTATATTATAATTAGTTTTAGACTTACTTTTAGATAATTATAGTATAATAATATTATCTTTTTTACTTATTTCTTTTGATACAAATATTCTATTTTTATTTTAATGCACTATTGTTGTTCACAAGCATTATATTAACTACAACTGTTCAATTTTAATTTGGAAAATGAATAGATCTTAAATAAAATAAATAACATTTCATACAAAATAATTTTAGTCTTTAAAATAATATTACAAATTCTTTTACTTTATTATTAATTATTTGAAATTAATGTCACAATAACAATTTTATTTCTTTTTCATTATTTGTTGCACCATTAATTTTTTCCTAAAAAACCTGTGTAGTTCACGAGTGTTGTACTAGTACTAGATAATATTTGATATCCAAGTTTATCGATCCTATCCCGTCCCCAAATGTAAATGAGGCCTTAAGGTGCGATTGGAATTGGCTTTTTTTTTTTTTGGTTATGATGAGCTAAATTTTTTACACATTTTAAACTCAAAATCGAACTCTACTTCATTTTCCAGCTACTTTTTATCAATATAATTAAATAATATCGATCAATCATTATTATACATCTCATCAACTTTAATTTGCTATTCACATACATAATTTTAACTACTCACCACTTCTAATCGCATATCTTCTACTTTTACATCACATTAACATTAATTATTATATTTTAAATATTCTTTTTTTTTTCAAATTTTTTTTTTCAAAATTATATTTTAAATATTCATTAAGTTCAAAATCTCACTTAATCATTAATTTAATCAACTTTATTTACAATTAACTCACTTTATTTAATAAAGAAAAAAAAAAAAAAAACAAAATAATTGACTTCCAATCACCCCCTATCATTTTCATAATTGCTCCATTGCACGCGATTTGACATTTCTTGGAGCAAAAAATTGAATTTTCAATTGATTCTTCGAGTCTTAGTGTTGTATTCTTTAATATCTAGCTAGTACTATGAATGCAGACAAAAGAGGCAATCAATTTTATATATATATATATATATATATAGAGACGGATGAAATGAGATCAGCTCTTAACATGTGGACAACTCTTAAAATGCGAATAATTCTTAGCAACTACAGACAACTAACCTAGCAACTACAGAGAACTAACCTAGCAACTACAGAGAACTAACTTAGTTGGAAGGTTAGGTCAACGCCGGAGTCAACGGTCAATGCCGAAAGTCAATGAATTTCACCGGAAGTCAACGGTCAACGCCGGAGTCAACGGATCAAAATAATATTTAAATAATTAAAATAATAAAAAGAAAAGATTAAATCTTGGTCACACCAAATCTTGTGGCTAAAAATGAGCCTCACGTCCTCACTTTAAGAAACCAGCCGCATTTGAACCAGAATATGCATTACTTATATAT